CCTCTGCCTTGATGGGCCTGTGGGGCAAATCGGAGCTGGGATGGTGGTGGTGGCTGGGGGGTGTCACCGTCACTTCCCAGCCCTCTTGTCTCCCCCACACAGAGACCCCAACCCCAGGGTGGCAGCACCTGCATGGGTCCCCCTGTCCCGTTACCGCATCCTGTCCCTGGTGCTGCTCCCCAGCGGGTTGTTTTGACACCTCCGTGGGCCTTTTCCCGTCTTCCTCCTCCTCCTCCTCCTCCTCTCCCCTGCCCAGGTTTTTCGGTGGGATATTTTTATCCGCTGTTGCCACAGCAACGTCCGACACCGGGCCAAGCCGGCGACGGCGGCGGCTTTTTCGCCCCCACAGCCTTTGTTCGCCACCACGGAGCCACCGCCGGCTTTAACCCCTTCCCGCGGCCGGGGGACGGCCGAGTCCCGGGACGGCCAACGGGGGCCCTTCCGGATGCTCCCTCACAGGAAATGGGCCCAGGGCTCAGCCGGGTAAACTGAGGCACCGAACGGGTCCCACATCCGAGCCTTGGTGCTGGGAGACCGCAAAGACTAAAGGTAGAGGGTGCGGAGTGTCCCCCTTGGGGCAAGGAGGCCCATAGCACCATGGGGGCCTCACCGGTTGTAAACCACAAAGACTAAAGGAAGAGGGTGCAGAGCAGCCCCCATTGGGTGGGGAGGACCATGGAGAGGCCTCAGCGGTCACAGGCCCCAGAGACTAAAGGAAGAGGGTGCAGAGCGTCCCCCGGGCGAGGAGGACTTTGGGGAGGCCGCTGCAGGTGTCACCACAGAGACCAAAGGCCGAGGGTGCCGAGCGGCGCCCTGCGCGGGGAGGCCGGGCCCTCACCGGTCGTAGTCGCCGTTGCAGAGGGCGCGCACGGGGATGGCGAACGCTTGCCACACCGGGTTCAGCGTGTTCCTCACCACCTCCGTCTTGTGGCAGATGGTGAAGCTGCCAGGACAGGGAGGGGAGCGGGGGTGTGTGCGGGGGTCACCTCCAATGGGAAAACAACCCCCATCCTCCCCCCCAAATGCTGGATCCCGGCAAGCAGGATGGAGATGCACCCAGCGGATGGACTTGCTATGGCAAGGTGTCACCACTAGGTTGGCAAGGGGACACTTTTGGGACCACAGCAGCTTGGTCCATCCGCAGAACATCCCCAGCCCCGCCGGGAGTCCCCACGGCAGCGGGTGGCTCACGTCCCGTCCTCGTTGCTCCGGTAGAAGACCATGAAGGGGTCGGACTTGCCGAAGAAGTCCTTCTTGTCCAGCTTGTTGGCGCAGAACTGCAGCGTGGCCACGTCCTGGGGCCGAGCGACAGCGTGAGGGGCCCCGACATTGGCTGACCCTCATCTTCCGCACCCCGAGGAAGGCCCCTCAGGGTCAGGGGATCACAGCCAGCGTCCCCAAACTTGTCACCTGCCACTCACCCGGCAGTTGCCCAGCTCCTCGGCCAGGAGGATGATGGTGCCGCACTTCTTCCCGGGGACGCCCCTGCCGGAGGAGGCGGCAGGTGCGGGGTGGCCATGTGTGCCC